ATTTTAAAAAAATTAGGATATTTTGAGCAATTTGAATGGTATGGAATGGTTTGACGTGATTTTTGGATAGGAATTGGCAATTTGAGCAATTTTGGGGAAATTAGGGTTCCAGGGACATTTTGGTAAATTTTGAAAAACTTTGGGGTTGAAGGCCAAAGGTTGGTTTTTAGGTGAAATTGGAGTTTATTAAAGATGCTAATCATAATATTACACTTCTGGTCCAATGAGACCAAGGGAATCCCATTTTGGACTCTCCATATGCTGGTCCTGACCATCCTAGCCAAAGGCTAAGAGCTTGGGGACCACCCACATGAGTTTCCAAAAGAGTGGGGGAAAGTCATATATGACTAACTTTAGGGTTTTGGGAATGTGTGTGAGGGTTTGAGTACATGTGTGTGTGTGTGGGCCTGATGGGTTTTGGGAATGTGTGTGAGGGTTTGAGTACATGCGTGTGTGTGTGGGCTTGATCAAGACCAAAACCAAGCCACCCAGAGCTAACCCTAAGGCCTGATAATCTCGTGGGCACTCTTCTTGAGCTCCCCCATGTTGGTTTTAACCTTTTAAGTGTTAGAGGTCAAAACTAAACATGTGGAACTCCAAGAAGTGTAATGAAATGTTTAGAATTTATAATGGGGTAGGGTTCCATCCCTAGTCCTCTATAGTCAACAGGAAAGTTCAATGACTAGATCCTAGACTTCTAAAGAAGAAAGAGTGGATCTCAAAAAAGTGAGGTCAACAAATGGACCCCTAATAGGTGTGGTGTGTCAGACGAGCACACCATACACATTGAAGTTGACCGAAGAGATCAACAAAACCAACACAAATGTTCCAAGCCAACAAACTTAGAACACAATGGAGAATGAGTGAAGAAGGCTTCTGCTAGGGAGTAGCAGGCCCTCGGTCGAAGTTGTGAAATTTAGTTATGATTTCAGCTCTTTTATTCTTATAAAGGGTTTTTTATGAATTTATATGAGCAACCATCAGGGTTCCTTGTGGGAAACTCGATAGTCGTGATAAGTTTGATTTTTATTATTTGAAATTAGATTTTGATTTTGATTCAAATTATGAATTAGATTTTGTGATTTCACGGATTTTTAAGTTAAGAAAAGTGAGAAGATCGGGCTGAGATGGAATGAACGGGGACTCTTATCTAACTCAAGGATAGGTGAGAAAGAGGAGTGCTACAATGGGAAGAAAAGCACAGGAACTCATATCCAACCCTAAAGTTAATGAAAGTGCAGAGAGTTCCACATTTTGAAGGAAAGCACAGGGACTCACATCCAATCCAAGAGGTGACAAGTTGTGTTGGGGTGAGAATAGGATGGCTTACTCCATTTAAGGGGGTCTCACACCTATCTTGAAGTTATAAGATGAGAATATGATGCCTTATTCCATTTAATTGGGCCTCACCTTGAAGTGATGGGAATGTCACATTAGGAAGGAAAGCACAGGGACTCACATCCAACCTAAGAGGCGACAGAAGGGAATTAGAATTTAAGTACTGATCCTGGGATGGGAATCAAAATTTAGGTACTGACCCTAAAAATTTGATTTTGCTACATTCGGAAGGAAAGCACAGAGACTCACATCCAACCAAAAAGGTAGTAGAAGGGAATCATAATTTTGGTACTGACCCCGAGATGGGAATTGGAATTTAAGTACTGATGCGTGCAGGGCGGCAACCTTAGTGCTACACAAAATATTAATGTGGTGTTTAAGACGTGGACAACTAATCTAGAAATAGTTCAAGGCAATCATATTAATAATTTTTAATTTTAATTAATCACTAGGATTCAAACACATATATACATATCACACAAGTAATATAGAGCTTCAATGGAGTCTTAAGTATCAATCCCACAGGGAGATGAAAATTCATATAATAATACCTCGCTTCAATGGAGTCTTAAGTATCAATCCCACAGGGAGGTGAAAATTCATATAATAATACCTCAAAGAAAAAAATATCTAAACTATAGAAAACTTATGTAAGAAAGCAGTCAAAATTTATTTTGTGCAATTAAATAAACTATTTTTACTACAATGATCATCTCTAAATTTTAAAGTTAAATCTAATGCATCTAAACTAAGTTTTATGGAAAAGAGTTCAAATTTAAGAAAGTATCATTCCCGTTTATAATGAGGTTAGAGCTAGTGAATAATCCAAATCTTTGTAAATTATATTGTGTCAAATAAGAGCAATTTTATTCTTTATCCTCTTCATGAGCGACAAAGAACATTAGCTAATCCAGAGTTTGATCCTTAAATCTGTGGTTAGGATGGGAAGTTATTAGCTCTTGCTGTAGAGTTCCCACATTCCCCTCACCTGAGGGCTAACATCTTGCTTTAGTTTCCAAACATCTGGACCAAATTTAGGATTTTAGTCTGTCACCCTAAAAATCTCTAAATCTACACCCAACAAACATATTTCCCTATCTATTTACACTTGAGCCTATGAATTGCATTCTCATTCATGAGATCAAATGTGATTCTTACTTAGTTGAAGAAAGCATAGCCCTCTCGGATCATATGCTTCATAAAAAAAATTAATAAATTAGCTGGCCAGATTGATAAGTAAATGAAGATTCAAGTTTGAATCATCACAATTTTGAAATTAAAATGCATTTAAATAATTGCAGTTCTTCACATGACTATATCTCATTGTAGGGATAAGGACATAACAAACTACTCATACTGAATGAGGAAGATACAACAAAACATTGATTTATATATAAAAATAAGTTTACACAATAAGAAAAAGTAAAGTTTAAACAACTTATCTCAATCTCCTCCCCAAGAAAATCCTTTGAAGTTCCTTTGAATCACTTTCTCTCCTTACAGTATTACTTAGTTCTCTCTTACAAATGTAATGAAGAAGAAATTTCTCACTTTCCCTCTCCTCTTAAAAATATTTAGAGAAAACCCTATCTAACAATCTTTTGCCACTTAATTCTCACTAATACACACCCTTTTCTATCATAAAATCACATTAAATAATGTGGGGCTGAATTTCCAAGAGTCTTTTTTGGCACACCTTTGAAATTCGTTCAAATTCAATGCATTTGGAAAAATACCCATCTCTGGAGCCTAGCCACTGAAATCTGGTGCCTAGGCACCTCCTTCTCTATATTCTGGCACTTAGGCATCAGATCCTGATGCCTAGGCTCTAGTTCAAATTCTTCAAAAGTGGCATTTTGAATCCATATTTTGTTCTTTTTGCTTCCTTTCAACTCTAAATGCCTAATTTAGTGTACCTACAACAAAAACATGAAAATACCTTTATATAAAGTGCAATATCACTAAAAGTAAGCATTATATATATATATATATATATATATATA